TTTATCGTGTAGAGTGCAACAGGATGCTTAAACATAATAAATATAATATACTTTTGCATATTCTGATTTTTGTTTATGGACAGCAGATGAGAAGGCAAAAGGTTCTGGACTGAATGGTAGCAAGCAGTACCTGAATTCAATCTGCTTTTAATTTCCTCCCGAATCAGGTTTTGATTTGTTATAGCTGTTCTGAACTGTGCCACATTTTCAAAACATCTACTAGCTATCTTGATGTTATGATTTTGCCCTGTATTCTGGTGATGAGACAAACATATACTTAGTTTTCTCTGTATTTACTTCTAGACCAACCTCCTTACTAGTGTCATTAAAGTTTGTGTTCTTCTTTATGGTATCTACACTATCACCCAGTAGATTCACATCAGCACAGACCAACAGCTGATGTGTCCCATTTAATTTCAGTCCCACATGGTTACTTCTAGGTTGGTAACCCCTCTTGAAGTCATTTATTCCTCTATACAGGTCTCTAATGTTCTTGTTCTTACTGTTCATTGCAAGCTCATCCATTTGGTCTTTCAGATATTCCCTCTTTATTCCTGAAATGCCTGCTGGTTTCATGTCTTATATTGTTCAGCTTATCCCCATTTATTTTGCTTGGATCCTGTAACCACTGGAATTTGGCTTGTTTCCTTTGGTCATATAATTTTGAGCAGCCTTCATCAAAACACGGCTTATCCTTTTTTAATTCATAATAACCTAGACTCTCTTTGGTAGAAAGTTTATATTCTAATAGTTTCCCAAGCTCTATTAATGTTCACTTCAGTGTCTAAGTTTTCCAAAGCTGAATACCTATCTATTTGTTTACCGACTGCCAGTCTTTCCCTAACTTATGCCACCACCAGGTAGTGGTCAGTATCACAGTCTGCTGCCCTGAATGACTGGACATCAAGTATATTTGAATGGCTTCTCCTATCTATAAAAATATAGTCAATTTGGTTGTGCATCTTTCCAGCAGGAGATGTCCAAGTAAATTTATGAATATTTTAATGTGGGAACATTGTACTTCTGACAATATTTCTGGATGTGGCAATGTTTACTACTCTAACTCCATTATCGTTACTAATTTCATGCAAACTCTCAATCCTAACTGTTGGTTTGAAAATGTCTTTCCTACCTACTTTGTCATTGAAATCGCATAACTATGGTTGAAGCCAGAAGGTCAAGGGTTCAAGTCCAGATGAGGTGGAATTTTTTAATTTACCTGATTATTCCAGCCGCATTATGGCCCTGAGGTTGACTCAGCCTCTAACAGAAATGAGTACCAGGAATCTTCCTGGAGTGTGAAAGGCGGCCAGTGTGCAAGACTGATAGCCTTATCGCCATCTGTGAGCAGACAGTCTAGAGAAAATGTGGGCGCCTCGACATCTCAGGACCCTATGGGCCTTCATGGCCTGTTCCTGGGATAGCTATACTTTTTGCCTATTAGGTGTGAGATAAAATAAGAAATCCAGGGAATCACAGTAACTAGGACAAAGAAGTATCATGTTCTGGAAACCGTTTCACTTTCACATCACTGTGTTTGCACTCACACGGAAACCAAATTAGGCTTTCAGAACGCCACAGACAGATCCCAATAAAGGTGCCCTACCACGGTGTTAAGGAGAATCTTGAGGAAAAAAACAGCAACAGAACAAAAGATTTATGTAAAGAGATCCACAATATCCGAATGACCAAATTGAGGATCATAATAAGATAGGCAGAAGAGTTGTGAAAGGCATGCAATATTTTAATAAAATATTCTGAAAAGAAAAAGCCCATTTGAAAGATATACACTTTAAAGGAAAGAAAAACTGAAATGTGTCAAAGAAGTAGTGTATCAGGGAGATTGTGGCCTGAACTGCAGAGGTCATTGGTTGGTTGTTTGATTACAGTAGTGTATTCACAAATTCATAAGATGTGGAAGAAGAAAAGTCCAGTTTTAGCTTAGGTAAAAGTTCATAACCCTACTGCCACCTTTGGGAAAAATCCCAGCAGTTCCCATGAGCATGTTCCTTTGGAACATTGGTATCCACCCACAGTACTATGTACAGGCATTATACAGATGAGTGGATGAACATATAGCAATAGTCATTTATAGCAGACAACATGAAGAATCACTTAACCCAAGACCTATACCCTTTTTTGCATGCATTACCTGTGTAGTTCACTAAATATTTAAGAGATTTAAAAATGTTCTGAACAAAAGTTGCAGGGGAAATGAATTATACATTTTGTGCCCAATACACTTATTCTCCAAGTCCCATGGTTTTTAAGATCAATGAGTCAGTGTCTTTTAATCATTACAGTACACTATGTACGAGTATACACTTCCTGACTTATTATGTAGCTTGCCCTCAATTTCCTGCAGGTACAACTGGAACGCAAAAATTGGATGTTTACAATTTAAATCAGTAAAGATCCCTTAACATAAATCTTCTGTCTACAACAGCAAAGAAGAAAAAAAAATCTCATGTGATTAATTATCAACCAGATTAATCAAGAATCACAAATCACATTAGTGTTCCTCTTGTTATTTTTATCTTTATTACATTAAATTCTTACCAAATAATTTTAATAAATTAAAACTGAGCCAAGTTCTAATTCTTCATAGTACCTTCATATTTATATCACATGATCCAACATTCATCTTGAAGTACTACTGATGAGTTCTATTTTCTTAACATACTGTCACGTGTTGGGTATGTGTAACGCAACAAATAACTTCACGCCGTTTTGGATCTTAGCAAATTTATTGTACACTCACTCTTACACTTACACAATTTACAGTGTACCAGTTACTGCCATCTGCAGTAGTCACTTCCTCGGTTCAACTGTCTTGAATCCATTCACTCGATACAACTCGTGGCTGCTGGACTTCACCTCATCTCTTTGGAGGTTGGAAACCGACAGCTAATGCTCAACTAACTCCAGCGATTGCTAGACTGCAACTGCACTGCTTAGGCATTCTGGTTTCTCTTATAAACCCTCAGCTAGACAGCGGAAAACGCACTTCACTTCTGTTGCGTAATTACTGTGTTTAGCAATGGCCTAGCAATAGTCGCTGCATGGACTCGCCTGTTGCGTGACGTCACAGCCTAGCAGGGAGGGGCGTTTACCGAGCGTTGTGTAGTGGTGGAAGGAGTGGGGGTATGTGACATCACTCGCGGAAACACAGAGTTCACGTAACCCTTAATTCCTGTTGCGCCATCTACGTTACAATACATTCTCCTCTTCTTCAGTCTTAAGACTTAGGCCCTCGGGCCTGCTCCAATTCAGAATTAACTTATGAAACTCTGTGACTTTTATAAATAGTTGCAAGGCCTTCACAGAACAATGTAAATACAGGAAGAATATGGATATACATTAACACCCCAAGTAGAGGCCGCACCATAGCTCAAGTGGTTAGTCACTGGCTTCCCACTGCGGCAGCCTGGGTTCGATTCCAGGTCTGGTCAAGTGGGATTTGTGGTGGACACAGTGATGGTGGGGCAGGTTTTCTCCGAGTACTTCGGTTTCCCCTGCCAATCTTCATTCCACCAATTGCTCCACAATCACCCTCACCTATCATCTGGGGCTGATACAATAGGTCAGAAGTGGCGGCAGTACAAGGGACTTAGTCCCACCCCACTAGCAATAAAAAAACACCCCAAGTGGGATATGAAGAGTTAAAGACAGTACATGCCTCAGACTGCAAGGCATCTGTGATCACCTCTCCACAGAATGTCTGTTGAAATGGCAGTCCCCACATAAATTCCTTTCAAGGCCATAACAACCTGATATATTACCGGTGTATTTCTATACCGCTGTAACAAATCATGCCAATACATACACTGTATATATATATATGACTACTCATAACATCTTACCCCACTCTCACATTATCATCACATGTAATTATTTTGGGGGACAAAGACCTTGGAAAGTCCAATGAAGACATACTGGATTGTGCGTCATGCATTTCAGTAAACAAATTTCAAAAACTTCTACCACAAAAACTTGTTACCAGATTTTGTCAAAGATTACTCATATTTTCCTGAGGCATTCGACATTACACAGAAATCTGAACTCACCGCTCTCCATCACTTCAGTGCAGCAATGACAAGATGAGAGATTTGAGGTTGTCACAGTGGTGTGAGTGAGCATTACTGTCTTCTGCAATGTGACACCTGCCTCTTGCTGGTTATTTGTTTGACTTACTTCATGGAAGCAGTACATTCCTCTGAAACATTAGTGAATTTCTACCAGACTTTGTGGTGTCACAACCCAGAAGAAAGCACTATTCACTATACGATGGTTTGACAGACCTTATTTCACTGGTTGAAAAGTAAAGTGAGTGCTTCAGAGTTGCTATGTCCTTCACACAACCAGAGCACTCATTGTGTGGCACATGTTTGCTGGTTGATTTACCTAACTAAGCTCTCTGACTATTAGTTTCAAAATGGCCGCATAGCTGTAAATGACAAATAGTAAAAATGTGGATGGAAGCAGTGATGACTCATTAACTTACATGTACACGAGCATAACTTCGTGGGCACACAGCAGTTGCTCAGTCGGTATAGTTCACTTGCAGACTAAAACCACAGAGTTTTTGTTTTGTGTTTGTATGCCAACATAGGCTGGACAAAGAGTGTAAACTCACACTGTGGGGGGGGGGGCAAAAGTATGGTATATTTCATAGTTACAGTGGGCTTGGCAACAGTTTTTTAATGCATTTTTATTTCCTAAAGCCCTGTTGTCACATGGAAGTGACAATGCTCAAGTCTTTGCCACCAATCACACCACTGGTGCCACCATAAAACAATGTTTCTGCTGCCAAACAAACAATGATATATTTCACGAATGCAGCTGGAAATTTTCTGTATGAAACTGCACTGTTGTAGGTAAAAGTGGAGAAACGGGTTGATCTGCTCCCAACTCTTGCCAACTTGACCTACTGCTATTAGGTTAGTGCTACCAATAGTAAAGAGCAGCTACTTTGTATGCAACATCATTAGCTCAATACCTTGATTCTGAATTTTATATTCAAATAAATGTAACACTAAGACACTTTCAGGCATCATTTACAATTTTTGTAGTCTCTCCAATTACTGTAATTACTGATTTTTATTTTGCAAAGGTGATTTCATATTTTGCATACTGCACTGTTTGGTATGGCACTTGGGACATAACAGTGTATGTCTCTGTCCTACACACTTGTGTGCACATTACTTCAAACAAGAACTGGCCAGGCATTACACTGCAGCCACAACACAACCATACTGATGTAGCTCTGTTGGCCGGCCAGCTGATGACCACAAGATGTACACTTGTGAAAAGAATTCAATCTTTCCTTGTACTGCCCCTTACCCTTCCCAACTTCCTATGATGTACTTCAAGCCTGGAGATATTTTGCACCCAACGTTATACACTTATACTTTCTAAGAATGTTTCTGTTTATTTAACAATACCATGTCAACTACAAAGGTTAAAAAATGATGTAATGGATATGAACAGTGACTTCAGAGCCTATGTTACTGTTTACCTAAAACTGTTAAGGCTTGCCATGATCCAGTCTCACCAAAGTTTGTCAAACAGTTCTCTAATATCCAGTTCATATTATAAGTTGACACATGGCACAATATTTTATTATTAACACTTTCTGTTTATAATATTTTGCCCAGCTTGGGAATTCTTACACCACAAGCATGGGCATGTTATGCTTATAAAGCATCCACAAATGTTGCCAGGACCTGAAGAACAAACTTTCCCACAAGTCTTCTCAATTAAAAATATGGATAAATCATAATTAAGTATATAACAAATTAACAGCAGAAACCTGATGTGTAGCAGAAGGCCTGGGTGTCAATGCACTGTCTCGTATGTCTCGAAGTTTTAAGGCACATCTGCAGTGACGGTTATTTGTCATTCTCCATGTGAGAAACCTGAAATTTTGTGACTGATGATGGGTAAGAATATCTGGTGAGGTTACGGTTGGTGTCGATGGGATAGTGGGGTGTGTGAGGGGAACAAAGCTCTTAACTGTGCCCAGGCTTCCAGAATCATCACTGAACTAATCATTTCAACATGTTTCCATGTGAGGCATATGTTGCAAGGTTATGAATCAAGGTACAATGTCACAACTGAGTTCAGTTCAAGTGTTGGCAGCACTGACAGATAACACCTCAATTTCCCTGCTAGATTAACTGTACTTACTTTTAGAAAAATGTCTGGGCATATTGGAATGTTGAGAGCAGCACTGTTTAAAACGAAATCTGACATATCTCAGTGTAGACAGACAGACAGACGAATGGACACAGTACATGCATTCAAATCATCAGTGGTTCTGCTATGTTACAACTGCAAACCGTGAAGCAAATGGCAAGTTCTGAAACATCAGGCCTCACTTAGCAGCACTTATGTGGTGCTGTTGCTCCATGTCCAGGTCTGCCACAGGCTTCCGGAACACTCTGCTGCGGCCACCTTGCCAGACCGCTGACCATCAGATGCATCCAGACACAGGTCAGTCCGCACATTTTTCAGTTTGCCATCCTGTTCACAGACAGTTCAGCACATGAGACCCCCACCTGCTCCAACTACTTCCTGCATATGCAAGGCATTCCTAACAAACAACATACTGCTGTTGAAAACATGGATTGGAGACATACCATGCAAACAAAGTGATCTATTGTGAGCAGATCATGTCTATCTGTATGTAAAATGTAAAAGTAAAGTTATCCCAGTGCTTAATTAAGCACCATACCATGATGATGTATGGCAGAGTGTTGTTGCAGCACTAGATGCAGATGAGAGGTGAGCTTCATGCACCTGCTGTTTCACACTCAGTACCCACCCACAACAAAAGCCTATCACTGTACTGACTCTCTGAAGACTGGCATATGCTCAGTCTGGTACCAACCTCCATTCGCCACTCCTGGTTGCCTTTCTGGCCATGACAGTGGAACATGATAACCTGTACTGGTGTGGCCAGTGGGTTCTGTATCTCGGCACAGAAGTTCTCCTGTCGCAGCTCCCCTGTCAGCGTCAGCGAGAAGAACTGCGACCATAACAGCAATTCATTATTTCTCCTCTTAGATTATCTGCACCAAGAGAAATAAGGTAAAATGGGGGGTGGGGGGGATAATGAGGACTGTAGGATCTGGGGTTTTCAGAGCCATGGCCATACAAAGTTCTCTCTCCTGTGTAGTCAGCTGAAAGTTCACTGAACAATCACCTCCATCTTCAGGGATGAACTGTAAGCCAAGCAAGAAACCAGCATGAAGCTTGAAGCAAAAAGAGCTTGATTCTGCTTCATACATGCTAGTTTATTGCTAGGCTTAAGCTTCATCCCTGATGATGGAGTGACAAGTTCCTTTGAAACACTGGTTCACTTTCAACAGACTACATGATATTATGTCCCAAAAGACAGAACTCCTGATACTGAGGAACTTCGTAATTTGTACACTTTGCCTAATGCAATGAGGACAGACAAAGGTCATGAGAACTCCTGATACTGAGGAACTTTGTAATTTGTACACTTTGCCTAATGCATTGAGGACAGGCAAAGGTCATGATAAGCCCCCCACACACACACACACATACACAACATTTTGGAAGAACAACCTCTCAGAAAGTTTCTACAGTGAACAAAGAGACAGTGGAAACATAAGACAAAATGGATTTTATGAAAAAACATATAGGAAACTTGTAACTGGCTGTGCACTGTGTTCAATGGGAGGTCTTGGTGTTGTCAGTGTGACATTGCAGATGGTGTAGACATAGGGCTCTTAAAATGGTTCAGATATTTGAAGATATTATATATACTGAAGTTGTTTAGTGTTGGATGATATGGAAAGACAAAATTTTACTGAAGGGTGTGTGGGATGTCGTATGAATGAATAGACAACCACTAGTTGAACTCCCACCCAATCACTTGGACGCCGGAGCTCCACAAGGCCTTCGAAGAGTGCAAGGCGAGTTTGTCACGCGCCACACTACTGGCTCACCCCGATCCATCCGCGCCACTTGCACTCGTCACAGATGCCTCCACGTCCGCAATGGGTGCCGTGCTACAGCAACGCGTCAAGAACGCCTGGCAGCCCCTGGCATTCTTCTCAAGAAAACTCAACCCGGCCCAGCAAAAATACAGTGCGTATGACCGCGAGCTGCTGGCCATCTACGAGGCCGTAAAGCACTTTCGCCACATGCTGGAAGCGCGCCACTTCAGCATCTTCACAGACCACAAACCTATCACCTACGCTTTCCAGCAGAAAAGGGACAAATGCTCACCAAGGCAATTCAACCACCTGGATTTCATAGCACAATTCACAAGGAAGTTCCAGTAACAAGTGAGGTAAAGAAATGAATGACTTTAATTGACAAAATTCTATGAGATTAGGTGAGAATTATGGTCACACTCCATTTCAATGACACCGAGCTTTTACCAGGCTTGTATCGAAACAGGTATGAGTCAGACAGAAGGAAACTGACCTGACTTGAGGTTGCCTTCGGGTGACAGTTGTACAGCCCCAGCTCATACTGCTCCCCATTGGTACCTTTCTGAAGGTTGTCGAGACACCTCTGGTGGTTCTGTGCCTGCACACAAACAACACAATGCAGGGTGTCTGCTAGAGGCTGACATGGGCACTAAGCCAAACACACGTACCTGCCCAAATGCCTCAACATTTTCTGTTGGAATGAACATGCCTGGATACACATTCTGCAAGTACCATCTGAATGGCTTACATTTCAGTCGCTTCTTCAGATTCACGCGTTCAGTCAGGTCTCCAATGTCCCGACCCTGAAGAAAGAACCAAGTTTGCCTATTTTTGGATATTAAAAAGTTAACAGCAAGAATATGTGAGAAATTTTCTTTATAGGTGGGGAAATTTCATGAAAAGCCAGAGTTGGAAGAAAGAACGGTCACTGATAACTAGTGAAACACACTAATTAATACAGAATATTCACTAACAAATAAAAATCAGAATGCAAATGAGACTGGCAGATAAAAAAGTAAATAAAGGTAGACGAGAGTAATGGGAGAATGACAGGTAAGAGCCACTCAGCTAAACAGCATGTACATCTTAAACAACTCACACATTCTGCCTGAATGCTCTTTTGCAGTCAGGGAATAAACACCATAACAACACTAGAAAAGATGCTCGTTTTCATGAATCACTTCTGGGCTTTTTAAATATCAAACCATTTTAATGCAAAATTTTGTAAGCATCTGTAAATTATGCATGAAACTTGTTTGCAGTAGTCCACACTAAGGGTTTGATCTCATAAATAATGGAGGACTATTCAGTGAATGAACTATGATGGAGCAGCCCACGTAGTGTTGTCACGGTGGTGCAGTCTTTTGCCATTACTGTCATATAAGTATGAAGCATTATGGTGGCATGGAAAGATAACTATATGCTATGGACATGTAGCTAAATGGGAGAGAGAAGCACAACACACATTACTGTCGGGGAAACATGCAAAAGAATGTAAGGTAAAATTAAAATGGATCCAAAGGAAACAGAACCACTCACACCAGCTCAAGATAGTATCAAAGAGTGAGCAGTGATATCACTGATGTTAAACTTTTCAGTTTTGTCACCAGTTAGGAAGGCTGTTTGTCAGTGGAAAGCTTTCACATGTTGGGACTAATGAGACCCCTGAACTTACCAGCAAGTCGGGGCGATGCATGTAGAACAAGCTCTTGTACTCATCCAGCCACACTTCCACCATGCGAGCTGTGTTTATCCCATGGGTATCCTTACCTCCTGGGAACGTGTATGGGTGAAAGCTACGGAAGATGTGCCCCACACGAGAGCAGGGGATGGTTTCCAAGGAGCCCCCACACTGCCACACCTGAAGCAGTTATTTTCCCTCTATGACTTCAACTTTATTTTCATCCATAACTGAAGTGACTACAACTGGACATGTCAAGAAACAACAGCAAACACAACACATGTCAAAGTCACATAAAAATTACACAATACTCCATAATGATATATAACAACTGTTATAATATGCATAACAATAAAAGATACATAAGCCCAGATGAAAAATATCAGTAACATAAAACACGTAAACACAATATTAAAAATTGCAAACCAAAAGACAATCAACAAACTAGTCTTCAATCCAACATTATTCGAAAAACTCTTGAAGAGATCAGAAAGAGCTGCACAGCACATCATTTTTTAGTTTCCTCTTAAAAAAATACAATTTTCAATGATTTTCAATTCAAAGGGAGAAACATTTAATATTTTAGTTCCCATATTGATTACACTTTTTCTGCAACGATCAGTATTACAAAACTGAACATACAAATTATGTTTATGTATGGTACTGTAGCTGTGAATGTCAGAATACTGACTTGTGTAGATCTTATTCTTTATTATAAAACAAAATGTGTCAAAGTCTTCATTTGAATATCAGAATAAGCAATAACCAAATAAAATCATACAGATAACCTTCAACCCATGAATGTCTTCTACTGCATGCAGCCATCTGTCCTGGCCTTTCTGTAGTTTAACCCTCACAAACTATTCCACACATCATTTCCAATCCAAAAGGAACTCAAACAGTGTATATATACAACTTGACTATGAAACTGAAATAGACATAACAATAAGGTAAAAGTGAAGTTGTCCCTGTGCTTAATTAAGCACCATTCAATGAAGTCGTTCTTAACCTCAGCATTAAACACAGGTCAGTGGTCAGCTTCCTGGCCAGGACGTTATGTGGGCCCAGAGTTGGTTTTGACACTGTTAACTGTGCACCTGCCAGGAATCAAACAATTCCTTGTTCATCCAGTCTACAGCCTGGTCACTATTATGACAGCTATTTTTTCCAAAACAATGGATGTTTCAACAGTCCCAATACACGTGCTTAATACAACACTGTCACATAACTACTATTTGCAGCAATCTGTCCAAAGATACACATCTTAGTAACATTAATATATACGTTTTGTAGTAAAATTCCCCATTTACGTATATGGTTGACAAAGCCTGAGAGCAACAAATTACAATCATGGGACTCACTCTGAATGACATTTCCAGGTTCTCACCACCCCAGACATCCATTTGTGAATCGTATGAGCCGATCTCCCAGAAATAGTTGCGCTCGATGGCAAAGAGACCCCCTGCCATCGTGGGGGACCTGCAACAATGTGACATCGTCACATACTTTGTAGGGTTCGGCCACCTCAGAAGAAAGGGTCACATGCTGACCACATACCTGGTTGGTGCAACGGAAGAACCTCGTCGGGCCTTTTCTGCTTCGGGAACAACCACCCATGTAAAGTGTCCGCTCCATGTGAACCCACCAACCTGCAACACACCTGTTCACTAGTGTTGACTTCAAACACCTGGCCTTGCCTTCAGTTCTTTTCAACATTCATTGCCACTAAAATTAATGTAATAAACTGCAAAGGTAAATATTCATTTTGTCTAGGCGCCATGTCCACAACAGTACTAATAATAAAACTCATCAATCATCCAAAGACCAGACTGTCCTGCTCCAACCTCAAAACCTAACACGACTGCCATGGATATACTACTTATGGCATTAAAATATGAACTCTGAGCTCCAAGAAAATCAGCCAATAAATTGAAAGACATCTGGTAGTGCAAGACAGAAGAACAGAGAACGAGGGTCAGCCAGACACACAAGCAAACAGCCTACTGCGGTGCCACCTGGAATGACCCACATTCACAAAGTTTCATCTTTCTCTGACCTGCAGAGTAGGAAAAAGTGGCAAAATTGCACCTAATGTGGTTGGTTTGGAAAAGGTTAGTTTCTATGGTTTTATTTAATGATGTTGTCACTAACTTGATAGCATCAAATGGCAGAATTACTGGCAACTATACGCGTCAAATGGTAGAATGATTGGCGAATAATGAATTGCAATGGATCTGGAGGAATACGGTATGTGTGCTAATGGTAATTCTGTATGAAAACTGATCTATAAGTCAGCCGCAATCTCTCACTCTGGTCAGGTGATATACTGACAGACAGGAAGCACTGGGCTTACACCAAGAACTGTATGAAGAAAGTTTTATACCTGGAAAAAGTCTAATGATGACTTGCTGTACATATATTCAAATGTCTTGTCATCGATGACATCAATAATTGGAACGAGCACAGCGGTGCGCTTCTCTTTGATTCGCTGAAGCAGTGGTTCCAACCTGCAACAAACAGGGCGACATTTCAATTAGAATAACACTAGAGTCACCTGAACACATATGTATGCTGTTGGGCATTCAACGCTGCAGGTGTGGTATGAGGCCAAGTACTGTCAGTAAGCCCCACAGTGAGGCAATGCCTTTATGCCAATCATTATGCCCTAGGAGCACCTTCTGTGAACAGATTCATACAACAATGTGACATATACACATCCCCTGATTTACATAAATTTCATGTTAAACACAATTTTGTATGTTTTTTATTTTAAATGTTTCAGTTAAGACTACAATAAAATAAAATAATCTGAAACAAAAAATTATGATTCCTAAACAGCTAACATGAACGGTATTAAAGTCAACTGAATTACATATTTTTACTGGAAATTCAAGGCATAAAAACTGAAGAAGCAATCAAAATTAGCAAAATTTTTAGGTATATGACACAAAATTACATAGCTAGTCCAGGAATACAGCTACTGCAAGAATCTGCATATATTTTAGATTTTATATACACTTCCTTGATATAATCTAAAATATATGCAAAAAATTCCTTGATCCACTGGGAAGACCAAGGCATATGTGGGTGGACAATATAAAAAAGGGATCTTAGCGAGATAGGATGGGATGGTATGCATTGGATTGATCTGGCTCAATACAGGGACCAGTGGAGGGCTCTTGTGAACAGAGTAATGAACTTCCGGGTTCCATAAAATGGAGGGAAATTCTTGAGTAGCTGCAGAATTGGCGGCTCAAGAAGGGCTCAGCTCCGTAAGTAAGTAATACACTTCCTTGATACTGTAACCCACTTGGTGGAAATTTGGTAACATTCACTTCTGTATACATTACATGCAAGGCTCAGCAGAACCAAACTGCCTCAAAATGTTCAGATCTTTATGAATTGTGACGCTGGCACACACACCCTATTGCCTGGTACACTCTTGAAACAGAGGGAACCAATCCTACATCATGTCACAAAGCTGCTAGGCACACCAACAAACTGCCAGTACAATCTTTCCCTCCAACAGCTGACAGATCTTCAGTGGATCAAGAAATTTCTTCCTTAGATGGAAGCTGAATGTTCGTCACCAAATTAAAAAAAGCTTATAATAAGACCATACTTTGAGCAAGTTCAACACAACCTACTTTTACCTAGAAATTAACTCCACATTAATGAATGAATGCAGGGCACTTATTAGTAGATAACTGCAGAGCCAGGCAAGAAATTTCATGCCTTTATGGTACTACAAGGTTAACAGTATCCTCCTATCTATCATAAATTTCTCAAATGTAATCTTACCTTCATATTTGGCTGCACCATAGCTCAAGCAGTTAGTCGTTGGCTTCCCACCACGGTGGCCCGGGTTCGATCCTGGGTCCGGTCAAGTGGGATTTGTGGTGGACAGAGTGGCGCTGGAGCAGGTTTTCTCAGAGTACTTCAGTTTCCCCTGCCAATCTTCATTCCACCAATTGCTCCACAATCACCCTCACATATCATCTGGGGCTGGTACAATAGGCCAGAAGTGGCCGCAGTACAAGTGACTTAGTCCCACCCCACTGGCAATAAAAAAAATAATACCTTCACATTTTCAAGCTTCGATTTTGTATCAATATCTCACCTCTTCCACACATTTCTTGATTTGGTCACACTGATAACATTTTGCAAGCACAAATTTTTGAGCTCCTCATAAGGCAGTTTTCTTCTGCTGCCCATCAGTTACACCCTCTTAGGTTCAAATATTCTCTCAGCATCATTCTCAGACACCCCCAGCAGATGTGAAGCAACGTCTCATACTCATACTGCAGCATGTAGACCCATTTCCAGACAATGCCCACAACACACATGCAGCCAACAGTACAGGAACAGTGTTTTCCGTCTGCAGACGGACTGTTGCTATGCAACAAGCACACTGTGACATCACACAACAGTAGTGGGTAGCGTTCACATGCCATGTGTTTACGATGATGCGTTGTCTGGCCCCCGGCTATATAAGTGGGTGACAAAGTTCAGTTGTGAGAAGTTACAAGAGAGCACAGTAGCGGCACAATCACGAAAAGAGATAGAGTTGGAACTAGAAGTGAGAGTGAGTGTGTCTGACATAGTCCTGAGTTCTGAGTTGCCGTTAGAGTTATGAGAGAGAAAGAGCGGCGGTAGAAGCAAGTGAACAGAATACAGAAGAATACAGGTCAGCCTGTGAGTATCTAAAGTGTGATTGGAAGATTTTGTGTGTAATATTTGTAGTGATAGTTCTGCGTTGATATCCGTTGCTACGAGACAGAGAATTCTAGTGCATGTGAAATGGTGAACTGGAAAGTGTGTAAAACAGCGATAGTGCTGTATTGCCTGTATTTAATTGTAATTAAGAGTGCGTAACCAAAGCGCTAATAAATCCGACCATCCAAACTAGAAGTAGTCATTTCATCACACATACCACCCTACACACACAATACAAAATAACAAATAAAACTATGCTTTTAGGCAGCAGGTGGGAAAACACAGGATGGTGAACAGAATGACAGCAAGCTTCATGCTCAGTAATGCAGCTTTGACCTCTTACTGCTGTCCCCAAATATATGAAGTTTGCCACATTTTCAAAGGATCTGTTACCTAGCTTTATGTTATCATTCTCTTTTGTCCTGTGTTGATGAGATATGCTGTACTGTTTTCTGTGTATATGCTTCTACACCAGACTTGTTCGAAGAAAATCATTTCAGTATCATCCTCGAATTTATACCTACACTCACCAATCTTTCGCTGAGGGTCTCAAGACTAAATTCTGGGTGTATTACTTGTTTCCACCTTGTGTTACAAATATCCTTCACTTATCACTGCAACAACACATGATAAACACTACCATCATGCAGTTTTTTTATTTTCCAGTTACTTCTTCTGTCTCAGATCCAATAGGCTTAATACAAGAATTCCATATAATGCACACTGGGAAAGATGAATGCCTGTGAAAAAGTTCTTTACTGTTATGACACAACATACCAGATGAGATACCAGGTTTGTCAAACTAATGAGGTTGCTCACCAGTTCTGCACCACTTCACAGTGAGCATCCAGAAAGACAAGCACACTGCCAACAGCTGATCTGGCCCCTGCAAGTCTTGCGCGTATCAAGCCTGTCCTCTCTGTCAGACGCAGCAGTCGCACTTTGGAAGGCAGCCGTGTCCTCAGGTAGTAGTCCAGTCTGCCCTGCAACTCCCCTGTGTACACATGATACACAAGTCACACTACATATCATAACATATACAGAGTTACTGTAGCAACAAAATCTGTAGTTGGCATATGTGTCATGCTGTAACCCATTCTAAAAGCATGCAGTGAGTTGGGATGGGTTGCACATCCAAGGAACGAGGCACAAGAATTTACTCTTTATTATAATATCCAGACCTGCTATGGGATGCATCCAACCTCCTAGCCAATGGACACCAACAGCTCTTCCACCTGGAGTAGAGTGGCCAGGGTACAGAGCCATCTAGTGCCTGTATCTAGAATGTAAGAATCTTTACCTCCACCTCTCCATATGTCTTCATGGGGAGATGCTTAATTAAACATAGTGACTTTACCTTTTCCCCTTTTAGTCTAGAAAGAGTTGCCTGGTTTTCATGGAGGTTAGTACACACAGGGCGTGGTCTTGTGGGTTGTGAAACTGTACTATTTATTGTTAAGTGGACATAAACAGTTTTGAGAAGATTTGGTGTGGATATACTGCCCTGATTACACCATGTCACAACCCGGATCACAATCCTGTTTCTTGTGATTCAGCAGAATTTGTTCAAACTGGGCACCTAAAAGTAACTATACATACCATTTCAGTAAAACTGTGTCCCAACACTCTGACACAAATCCGAACATATGAGCACCTTCACACATGCTTGAAGAGTCATGTGTTAACGAGGCACATACAAAACATTAAATGTTGAAATCACCAACATCAGAGCAATATAAAAAGAGCTCCATAATTATTACTCTCAGTCAGATAATTATTAGGGTGATCAAAGACAGGCTGAGGCTGAGAGGCCTGATGCACAAGGAGAATGAAAAAGGAAAACACTACATGGGTAATCTAGACAAATACAGATGAGAGGAAATATTGAAATGGACCCTACCATAATGTGTTGCAAGGATGTGGAGCTGGATTCATGTGTCTCTGAACACAGACCAATGAAAGGCTCTTGTCAACACCATAATGAACTTAGGGGCACACAAGAGGTGGCAGATTTCTTGACTGAGCAACTATCAGCATCACAAGCACACTCTGCCCACACAGACCCACACAGCTTTTCATGGGTTACTTTGCCACACTGTTACTAGGGAGACTGTACAGCATCGAACAGCAGGATAAAGGAAGAGCTGGAAGGATTCTGATGAAAGTAACCATGCTTTATCTGAGGTACCACCCCAGCATTGCGTGAAAGTACTGAGGAAGACCACGAGAAACCTGTACAGATGGTGTCGCACATGAGATTCGAACTGACCACATCTTGAATAAGGGTCTAAAGCATTACCACTATGCAAACAAATTCAGTCTCCACATAAAATCATATGCATTTCAATCAGCTGGGTTAGCTGTATGAACAAATGACAAGCAGCAAAGGACAGCAAATTAATTACTTCTATCACTGCAGTCATCGACCAGAACAATCTCCTTGAGCAGATGTGTGGGTGAGCCATTCAGAACACTGTGCACTGTGCGTATCAGTGAACTCCATGCCTCATTGGTGAACACAATCACGACACTTGCAGAGGGCAGGTCTGAATCATATGTAAGGTCCTTACACCTGCACACATAAGCAAACCTGGCAATCTGCTGACAAAACAACATCTCTCTTACATATAGTGCTGGTGCTGAATGCTGTACTACACATTAGTTGTAGGGCAGTCAATACTACACAAACACCGAGGCTTAGAAAACACCACTGAGAGCATAAAAATGCATAGATCATCTGAAAACACTGATTTCTCATGCTGAGTTCCTTCATACATAAATTTCCTAACCTCAACTGCCTTCATAAAATTCTGGTGAAGTTCCAGTTTGCAGAGTACTAGGAAATCAAGCTCCCTCCTCCCTGTCAACATCAGAAGTTCATTCCTTAAAACATAAATAAAAAAAACTGACTTCTTTCAGGTTTGCATTATTTGAGACAAAAGAAAAGCCTAATATACAAATGAGCACTGGACACTGGCCAGTCCCTTGAGTGTCTCCATTATGCTAGAACTTACTTAAGTACTTACCTTCATTTAGTGTTGTAACAACATATACAAGCTATTATGACAATGTTCACTGACCTCCAGTGAAAGTTTTACATAATTATAAGTTTCCTACGAAAGCACCTGGTTACAGGCAGCAAATTAGTGACCTATATCATGGAAAGCAGAAGCTGTGTCATTACTTAGGAAACAAACAAATGCTTACTTCGGGTTCCGTGCATCCGGCAACTTTCTCGAGAAGGGAATTTTGTCACTCAGAACAATGTTGAAAGCCTCCACTTCCATGAGTTTCTCGGCCTGCTTCGCCTCTTCTCCCTGCAAAATAACGGCCACTCCATTGTCCCCTAACCTAGGAACCTTCATCAATTCATCATCTCTAATTTCTGCTTCGTACTGGTCCTCGATGTTGGAGGGCATACTCCTCAGTTCCGACCCCAGTAAAGCTTGGCTTGCTTGTCTCTGCAGCTCCTTCCTCAGTTTCTGCACCCTTCGATTAATAATCACCACTTCCGCTTCTTCTTCGTCTGCCAGACTGTTTTCGGGACGTCTGATTGACAATACTAACAACGTCACTGATACACATATAATTAAGAAAGCAACCCGCCTATTAACAAAGAATCTACACGTCCGTTTAAACTGCATTATTACATTTTATAATTCAACAAATATAAATTTCCTAACCTCCTCAGTAAAAATTCAATTGTTTCAACCCGTAACCTAACATATGCATTCAAGCATACGTCACCAAAACAAACAGCTACATACCAGGCAACGAATCACCTATGATCAAGATGCAACCAGCAGCAATTATCTGTCAAAAATCTGTTACCTCTCTTATTTACACAGCAACGTCGTGACATTTTCCAGTTCTACAAACACGAGAAATGCTTAGACGAAATTACCACAACCTAGACCATTAGCAAACTTCAGCAAATCGGTCAGTTTGTAATCGAAGATACCATGGTGAACAAGCGACTGGGCAGTCATACCGGTCATACCTGTCATACCCACGGGTCACGTAATAAAGTACCGAATTGCGCACCTGTGTTTTAGTTTTCTCCTGCATACAAGGAAGAAATCTTCAAGGATCTTCAAACCTCGGCTTTTTTTTTTTTTGCAGCAGCAGCAAATTTAAAACTGTCTATGAAGTGGCTGGCTAAAATATTATAGTGTTATGCTACTAGTTTCCCTCGCTTTTTGATGAAGCGCTAAGAGAAGAGCTACATGAGACGTCAATATCTCTCGAAAGGCCCTAGGGGGTTTGTGAATAATGGTTTGAAATGGGGTTAAGTTTGCATTTCCATTCAAAAAGACGACGACTTAGTCTTTGGCGGCTTTGAAGCCGGGAACACTGGCTACTTCTTTTGATACGAAAATCTGGCTTGGCATTACTTACTCGTGGAGCTGAGCCCTTCTGGAGGAGCCGCCAATTCTGCAGCTACTCATGAACTTTCCAGCATTTTATGTAACCCGAAGGTTCATTACCGTGTTCACAAGAGCCCTCCACTGGTCTCTATCCTCAGCCAGATCAATCCAATCCATACCATACCATCCCATCCTATCTCTCTAAGAGCCATTTTAATAATGTTCACCCACCTACGTCTTGGTCTTCCCAGTGGTCTTTCCTTCTGGCTCTCCCACCAATATCCTATACGCATTCCTCGTCTCCCCCATTCATGCTACATGCACTGCCCACCTCAGCCTCCTTGACTTGATCATTCTAATTATACTTGGAGAAGAGTACAAGTTATGAAGCTCCTCATTATGCAGTTTTCTCCAACCTCCTGTCGCTTAATCTCTCTTCGGTCCAAATATTCTCCTCAACACCCTGTTCTCAAACACCCTCAGTCTATGTTCCTCCCTTAATGTCAGAGACCAGGTTTCACACCCATACAGAACCATGGGCAAAATTATGGTTTTGCATATTCTAATTTTTATGTTTCTGGACAGCAGACAAGAAGACAAAAGGTTCTGGACTGACTGGCTTGGCATTCATTTCCAAAACACCCACATCTCGGCAAAATTGACCATTTGCTTAAGTAAATGCTCCAATTCCACTGTTTAAACCAATGAGACCAACCACTGCTGGCATTAAAGGCTTTCACTTCTTCAGAAGGTTCGGGCAAAAGCAGTATGCGTATGGCCTTGTAGCATGGTAGATAGGTAACAACCTTTAACGGGAATGTGTTGCTTCCACCTTCAGGGTAGAAGGGCAGTAATTTCCCCCGGATCGTTGACATGTATATTTAGAGGACTAGATGGCGTCACACCCCCAAAAAATGGCACTCTTCATAGTCAGATGTGTAAACCTCAAATCCAACAAAAGTGCCGTAGTTTTTACAAGAATTTCAGAACAAAGTGCTGAGGGGAATAGTAAATGCCCCTTGGTACGCCCGCAATAGTGACATCCACAGGGATCTTGGCATTAGGATGGTCACTGCCGAAATTAAAAGGATAGTCAAGAAGCACGAAGATCGGCTTCACCCCCACAGCAACGTGCAAGCGATACAGCTGAAGATCGGCTTCACGACACAGCAACGTGGAAGCGATACAGCTGAAGATCGGCTTCACCACCATAGGAACGTGGAAGCGATACAGCTTCTTGACAACGAGAGGACAGTGAAGAGGCTCAAGAGACTCAAGCCGTTTGAACTAGTGTAGTGCAAGTGTGCGTTAGTGTAAATAGCGATACGAGTGCGACAACAGTGTGTTCAAGATGCCAGATGCTGGGACACACCGGTGGGCGTAGTCTCAGAGTTTAGTTCTAGTAGTAGTAGTGTGATAATAAAAATGCTCGTTAGTCCCAGGCTAGTCACATTGTTGGAAGGTTTAAAAAAAGTTTTTTACAAGCTGGTGTGTACATCTGAGCCGTATCTCAGTACTACAGACTGTATTTTTTACGGATGGGTGTCTCTAGCCGCATGATGACACGTGGTCAACCCCACACATGCTGTTAGAGGACGGACACGTGAGGCAAGCATATTAAGGCGTTACGTGCCTCAGCTGTCGGTACCTATGAAACCCGTACCTTTATCTCGCAACCAGAAAGGTCTGCTATTTGATATTTCAAGCCAGTTTATATCACCATTTCAATATTATCCTCCCACCAAACCAAGCAGCATGTTTCCTTCAGGTCTAGCCTTACACGCGCAGAACAGCAGCTCCACAACTTGTGTAATTTTATATCTGCTCACGGCCCATTAGATAAATCACGTTATTAATTTAATGTGCAGGCGTGTGACCGCTTGTCTCATACGGTAGCCTCTAATTTGTATGCAGCCAAGCTTAAAATTGCTGATGGCAGAGTGCAGCACTCGACAATTAGTAACCCAGGGGTGTCCCGCGTCCGTTCCGAATATCAAGTGGCCTGGTAGCCAGTCCCCAGATGGGAATCAAACTGTCTCTCACAACAACTTGAGGTTCCAGGAAGTAAGTGCTGTCCAACTCAAAAGACCGCCATTTTAGTAGTTTTTTAAGTGAGGCGTCTGTCAGACTGTGATTTGCTCTGAGGCCATACAAATGAACTGCGCTTCTGTCAGGGGATCAACCACGTGGACGCTCTGCGAACTGGACCCTTGAGTTCATGTTACCATTTCCTTGAAAATAGGGCTCAGACTCCAGCAGCGGACAGCGCAGACACACTACACAGGGAACTGAGAGGGGCGCGGGACGCTGTTCTTGCTGGATAAGGTAGGCCGCACACTGGCATGCGTCAAGACATGTAACAGTCAAGACATGATGTCTGCGACATGACGCAAAGAAAGGAGCACAGCTGAAACGAATGAGATTATAGAAACCGCCGCACACCGGTCTGAGTTATCATGCTGACGAATGACGAATGAAGCAAGACTGCGTCATTTGTCTCATTTCTTGATGCTTGTCTTGACGCAGTTGGTTTGCGGCAGCCCTAAAACTATGGAGTATGCGCATACCGCGACTACTGAAAAGGGGGTTGAGCGGCAGGAGCGTGAACCGCCAGTTCCTTCTGGTGAGCAGATTAGGAATTACTGGCGTTACACCTACCTCCACTCTACCAAACGTATAATAATAATATTAGCAGCAGCAACAACAACAAAAACAACAACAACAAAACAATGCAACAAATATAACAACACCAGCACTATGTAATCTTGACACTGACAGCGTCGTTAAATAATCAACTTAAAAAATAAAAAGGAATGACTCCTCAGAGCAAAGTGCACATTGAAAAGCTGATAGCCACTTGAAGCCCCATTCGCTATTCCCCTACTCTGGAAGACCAAGTTTCTCACCCATGCAGAGCCCTTTCTGCAACATTTAGGTCTCGCCAGAGAATCCCCCGAACCTTTCATGAGCACTTGTTGCTCGCTCGCCCAAGTTGCAAGACGGGGTATCGCCCTTTGTCGGCTGTACGCAACTGAGCCCCACAGACGGCTTTCAGGCGTCACTTTTGCATCTTTGTAGCCAGAGCAAAGACCCCGTTCGAGTCCCGTTTTTGCCTGCTTCTCATGTCGCGCGAAATAATCACAATAGTAGAACCGGACTGTAAGCACGCAACAGGACCGAGCGTCGAGTCCAGGGGGCAGCATATAGACCAGCTGTTTTGAATGAGGTCTCTCTTCAGCCTCAAGTCAGGCGACGGTCGCTTGCTTTCCACATCGTCAGTCTCTTTCATCCATTCATTTGACGCTACGCAGTCAGTGTTACTTGCAGCGTCGTTGGACAAAGCTGGGCTGTGCGTGTAGTCTGGTACAAGTTCACAGACGTTTCGGGTGAACGTACTGCTGAGAAGTAAGCCAAGAAAACAGCACACAGTGATATGTTCGGTGAGCTTCTAGCGGACTACACGGCGTCACATAACACTCACATGCCTGTATGTCAATAGGAAATGTGATGGTTGCCTGAAGATGGCACCACGAACTGGCAACTGACATGGCCCACTCGAATGGAGCAACAGATGTGTTTCCACGGCCTACTGTGATCCGCGTCGACTGTCCAGCTGTACCCTCTTGTACTACAATGGGTGCATTGGAGCGTATCAGAAAACGAATTCTGATTCTTGAAAGGTAAATTGCAGTGTGAATGGGCTGCAGCTTCTTCGCAGGTGGAGTGTTCGTCCGCGCGCAACACCGAGACAAGTCACACGTCGCAACATGGTGGCGATTCCTGCTTGCCTCTGAGGCGTCGCGTCTCTCTGTGACCAAAACCTTGGAGAGCTTTCGGGTCAATCAGTCGTGCCCCTCCAGCTTCCATTCACATCGATTCACAGCAAACCTTACTCACGTATTTCGCTTGTGGTCATAATATGAGCGTTTTCTTTTATATCATGAGCTACTGACCAAATGTTGGTGAATTTGTAATGGGAGGTCTGTACAGGACATCAGTAGATCGTTTTGACTTTAGCCAAATTGTCCGATGACAATGCCTGCTTTAGGTAACACTACGAACAAACTTCTCTACATCTGCTACAAATAGTTTTAAGTATTCTGCTCTTTCACAGCTTTGTGGTTATTCTGCTGCTGACATATGAATTTTGCTTATTTCATTTATTGATTTTTTTTTTTTGCTGAAATGCCGTTTATAAAACGTTTGCAAGTATGCTTACTAAACCGCAAAGAACGCCGTTGTGCTTTCCATTACGCGGTGCGCAGTGCGCCCTGTTCGATGTTGTTAATATTCACACAAGAAGGTGACTACAACTTTTCACGTTGGATGTGCAAACAAAGACGAAACTTTGGGGGAGGAAGAGGAGGCTGGAAACAGTGGCGATGGGGGAGTTGCCTGGGCACAGCAGAGAATGAAAAGAAGGAACGGCATTATTCTGACATCGCGAAACTTGCTGGAAAGACGTTCTCTTGAATTTAAACAACAGACAGGAGACGGCTTGATTCGAATGGCTCAACGCCGATCTCTTTCATTCGGTTCCATTTTATGCAGCTCTACTAGACTATGTGTCTTCCAATGGTAGAACGAGTCATGAAGTGAAAGGACCTGAAAGGAAGAGGTA